AGCTGACTCCGTAAGGGCCTATGGGCTATTAGAGGCTCTTATTTGGGATCCAAGCCCAATAACCATTTGTTAAAAAAGGACTAGGAGTTAGAAGAACGGTTATGAAAACTATGTCGAAGCTTTGGCTGTCAGTTATCTCTCATCCCCTTTCTCTGTTCTAGTATCTCATCCCCTTCTAGTTACCTTCTTCTATGTTTCTGTTCTAGTATCTCATCCCCTTCTAGTTACCTTTTTCTATGTTAATCTATCTGTAATTAGTATGTTATTACTTTGTTGTGCGTATTATACGTTGTAATTTGTATCCAGTGAATATTATATATCAGTGTTTGTGTTGAGAATCGAGTTTGTTTCACATACCTACTTTAAACTAACCGAAAATAGGAGAGGGGAAATCAAATAGACGCGATAGTACTGGTGAAGGCATTTTCTTTCCATTCTTAAGATGGAAACTTTTAACCAAACCTATACTAATTGTAATCAGAAAAAGAATATGATATTTTTTTTAACCAAACCTATACTAATTCTAATTAGAAAAATAGGAGAAAATCCATAGAAAGTTAGACAACAGTAAATGATTCCAACAGAAACACAGGTGGGATCAAATCACATACATTTGAAACATATTTTTTCACAAAAAATAAACAATAGAGACTGGGCTTGTCTTGTAATAACATACCTTTTGGGTTGCTGACTGATATGGGATAGAATATTTAGGTAAATCTGTTGTAAAGAAAGGCAGCAAAATTGTGTTAGTAGTTTTCACGTATATGATCAAACATGTTGGACGCGTATAATGTGGAACCACTTAAAGTAGTTTATATGAACTATATGTACCAAAAGTCGTAGTCAAATTTTAATAATGGAGAGATTCGGAACTATATGCAGCAAAATTTGTTACCAATTTTAATGATGAGATTGACAGTGTCTTGAAGTATCTAATCTTTCATAAAGTTTGCCGATTTGAGCTTCCAATTTATATGGGATTCCTTACCAAAGGTCATGAGCACATGAAAAGGAAAGCAATGAGAAACACAATGCACTTAGGAGAACTAATAGCTGAAAATTGGACTATTGGGTCGGGGGTTATCTAATCTTCACATGAGTTGTTGTTCCTCTGCCTTTTTTTTATTTGCTAAGAATTTGGTTTCCATCCTGTGGTTGCGTCTATTTTTTTATATGATTATATATGTATTCTTTGTGGATATTGTTGCGGGCTGAATGGTTTGTCAATTTTTTTTCCTTTTATTTTATTTTTATATGTAACCGAAATATTTTTACAGTGCATCAGTTTCAATCCTAATTCAACATGGGATTTCTATTCTCTCTTTCCACATTAGTCAGCAATCCACAAATTAAGGACTAAATTTTGAATTACATTAAATTCGAATGCTAAAGAAGAAAATGGTGATCGGTAGCTACTATCAAAATCACCTAAAAATGCATTACGTGCATCAAAGATCAAAAGTCATATATATATTTATTTCTATTTTCAAACATGCTGAGCAAATTAGATAGACTTGATGATAGTCAGACCTAAGAACCCAAAGAAATATGAAAGTAATTGCTGCCATTATAGATCTCTTTTCAAAAGCTAATACATTATTAGGAGAATAATCGGAGGAGAAGGGAAATAATACTTACCGTAACCAAAGAAATTTCAGGCGAAACATAGATTGAAACCGATGATAAGGATCTAACGAAGAGGAGCAAGTGACTAAATAGAGCTGGAGCATATAGAAGAATCTGCACTCTATCGATATAAACAATGAAGAAGCAGAGAGTATATACATAAAGCACATGGAAACTTTATTTACAGATTTACCTCCACTTCTAATTCCTTTCCCAACTCCCACTTCTAATTTATTTAATGAAGCGGGTTCACATATGGTATAACTTGTATTACTTTTGGAACCATTTCTTATTGCTTTTCGTACAACTCTTTAATTTAATGAAGTGAGTCCACATATGGTACAACTTGTATTAGTTTTGGAACTATTCCTTATTGCTTTTGGTATAACTCTTTTATGATGTGTTGGTACACCTTACGTGTCATTTCTAAATAAGAGTAATAAATATATAAGAGAACCTTAAGTCAACCTATGTGGTGCCACAACAAACTAGAATTTCCTTTTAATTTATTTACAAAATTAGCCTTCACCTTTCATTGTTGTGAAATTTATGAAAAGTTGTGACTTTTATGAAAAGTTACAACTTTAATGAAGAGTTGCGACTTTTATGAAAAGTTGCGAATTTTATGAAAAGTTGTGACTTTTACTAAAAGTTACGACTTTAATGAAGAGTTGCGACTTTTATGAAAGATTGTGACCTTTTCGAAGGGTTGCAACTTTTCCAAATAGTTGTAACCTTTTCGATAAGACACGATAAATATTTTTTCACACTACCCTTTGTTGTCTATAAATAGAGGCATTTCCTCTCATTTTAAAACAACGAAAATTATGAACCTCTTCTTCTTCTTCACAATTAAATATTTGTGTACTTGCTCCTGTTGAGTGGCTCACTGACACCATTACTTATGTTACAGATCCTGGTATGTATTTTTTACAGTCATTAATTTATGTTTATATTATTAAGGATAAATGATACTTAAGATGTAATAATTTTCATTTTCCTTTACATTATTAATGTTTGTTACTACGTAATCTTGTATGTAAGATAATATAGTGTTTTAGTTTTAATGACTGATCGATTTTAAGTATTATTTTATAAATTCCATGATATTGAATTCCCGCGCGAAGCACGGGTAATTTTACTAGTATATATATAAAGAAGACCCATTCTAACATAAACCCAATATGCCTCAAACAGGTAGTCAAGTTCTTACTTAAGGGATTTATTATGTTATATTGCTAACATATGGAAAGTCGAGGTTTAAACTTATTATAAGTACATTAGAGAGAATTATGTATGATTTGGAAAGAGCCAAGCAGGAGAGTATACTTATCAAATGTTTACGCAATGGACGGAGCTGAGGGGTTCATTCGAACCTCTTTTGTTAAAAATTGCATTGTATATATAAGATCAATATTTTTTTAAATATATATAAAAGTATATGTTGAATCCTCTTAACTTCTTGGTGTGTTTCTTACTTTATATTTTGAATTTTCTTACCGAAAATTCTGACTTTACTGCTTCACAATTTTCTTCCATTTTATTAATTAGTGAGCCACAACCTCATGTGCTATTCTACACTTTTCAACACATTGGCGAAGTCCATATAACTATGCTTGTAGGCTGCCAAACATTAAAATAACTTAATAATGACTGTTTTAGATATTTTTTTTAAAAATTGATTGTTAAAAGACCCTTAAAATTATCACATTTTTGCAAATTTCATGTTTAAACTGTCTTATTTTCGTTACCCCTGAACTATAACATTCAAGTGTTAAAATCTCTCTTGCATGACATATGGCAAAGCGTTTATCGACATTTACTTAGAGGCGCATAGGCCGTTAAACTCTATTTAAATTGACTTATTTAAGTGTTTTTAAGCAATAACTTTTAAGTACTTTTATTTGAGAAACAAAAAAATATTTTTAAGCACTTGATTTATAGCCAAAATATTAAAAATAAGTAAAAAACCCTAAGGTAGGATTTCTAACTTATGGCTGGCCTATAAGCTAAAAGCCAAAAGTCAATCCAAATAGGCATCTTATTTCAAGCATCAATGAGAAAACATGAAAAAGGTCTATTACTTAACTCTAGGTTTTTTCACAATAAGAAATTGGTAACAGAAACAAGGCTCTACAGCTCTCATGAGTAACACAGACCATGCAAAATAGCAATCCAGAAGCAGATATACCACATTACGTAAAAGTGATCTCTTACAAAAAAGCAAAGCTGGCAATTGCACATCAACTAGACAGTAGACAGAATGCAAAAATGTTGTCTCAAAACTGTACGGAGTTAGAAAAACACACAGATATGTCCATGAAAATGTAACATACATACGACCGAGCAAGCTATCTTGTTGCCCTTCTGCATTGAAGCCAAATCATTGTTGACACTGAAAATGGCATGATCAAAATGTACAATCTTTTCTCATACTTGCTAACTAAGAGACCAACTTGACAACCATCTGAGGCAAGACACTATCTGTAAATGCAATCAGTGTACTTTGTAGAATTCGCCAACAATTAGTAACCAACAGACTTAAGCCTATTTAATATGACAAATGAAAGAAAACAATTCCACTGACAAAACATTGATAACCAAGGTATCCTGTCAATTAGTTAAAAAATAGTGATGAACTGAACAAAAACCTCTTAGTGTAATCTGAACAACTTGCTTCAGATAGAAGGAAGAATCACAATATGTCCCATTTGCCTTCAATCATTCTCAGTGGTACTACCTAGAGGATCACAAATTCATAATGCCATTTAGAAACACTTCCAGAGGATGTCAAAGTCTGGGGTTAGAGTTAGACACAAGAAGTTGATAAGGGCTGACTCACAAGTGCTTAGGGTAATGAGTTATGTATAAAGTTGATAGAATGAGACTTACAAAACAGAGCATCGAAGTAGTTAGAAGAGATGAAATCTACATATGGCTTCAAAAGTTCATCTCAGCTGATGTTCAATGCTTTGCTAAATGATACAATGCTGAAGGCCTAATCACTGTTCTCTTCTGCTATAGGGTAAACTAGGAAGCTGCATATACAGAGGAAGCCAAAAAAGAGTAATTTGGATGAGGCTTTAATTGGTTTGAGTTGGGAACGGTAAAATTCTCTTCATTGAGAGATAGAAGTAGTAAAAAGGCTGTTTGGTGAAGTTGAATCAGCTTCAACCAAGAGTAGCTTAGGAACTCAATAGGATTTGTTAAGACTACAAATTTTGGAAATGGTTATAAGGTTGTTTCAAAATCACAAGTTCATAAGAATCCAAAACTACAAGAGGGTAAAACAATTGATTCATGATAATTAACTTCTCACTGATACAACAATTTCCAAGGCCAGATCTTAGTGTACAATACATTCATTCACTGCTTGCTATCAAGGCGCATCCAACATAGCTCAATCAGACTTCCACTACTTGTTTGATTTTGCTACCACCAATTGACCATTAATTGACTATATCTACAGAAGAAGAACACTAAAAAAAGTCCTAATTCATGCTTACATATTCAGTAGACGAGAACTGCATTGAACAAATGGAGCAGCAAGATAAAATCACAGCAGGATAAAAGTTGATTAAGAACTTTTACGTATACTTCATGACTGCTTCTTTTTTTCCTTCAAATACAAGTAGTTTCTCTGAAAGTCTAAAATTACCCAAATCAAATGCCTCAAACCAATCTCAGGCCATAGTGCAGCGGGAGAATAAAGAAGACAGTGTGCACTTTGCCACAAAAGAAAATTGCTTAACCGAGCTGCTCCAGAAGTCCGTATAATAATGTCTGGATCAGGACAAACTGACATGTACATATGTCTGTCAACATTTGTTACACCAATCCGGTGCTCATCCTTGTCCTTCACATTTTCTTCGAGTCTAATTAAATTGCCTCCATCATTATTTTTTCTAATCTCATCCCATTTTTCTTCACAAGATTCTTGAACAGCATGCACAATCTCATCTGTTGATGTGTAGGCAACACAAATAGACAATATAGCTTTTGAATTACCTGATGTCTTTACCATAGCCCTCTCAGCTGCTGACCTGACGTGGTCACTCAGAAGTTTAAGGTTTCCTTGAAAGTAAATCCTAATCCCAAGGCGGTTTACAATGCTCTCCTCTTTTGTTAATTCATCAATCTTTTCCTGCATCAGTTTCATTAGCGATACAACTTCTTCAGGCCTTCGCTTGAAGTTATCAATGCTGAAGGCATAAACTGTTATGTATTTTACACCAAGCTCGTAACAATATTTCAGCATATTGATAAGAGCTGAAAATCCAGCTCTGTGTCCATTCCCATCAATCAAGTTCTGTTTCTTAGAATATCTACGATTTCCGTCCATAATGAAAGCAATGTGACTAGGAACAGGACCCACATTAAGTACAGAAAATATACATTGACGAACAAAGCTGCTAATATTTTCAAATAGATGCCCCACTTTGTTTCCGTTTACACCTACCATATCAACGCTCGAACTAATGCTTGATCAAGCACCAAGATCAACCTAATCAAACATTACAGAATTTAGTCTCAAATAACCGAATAAAATCAACTTTTTTTCTGCCATTAAAAAAAACAATGCAGAACAAGAGAAAACATCACAAAGTAAGTAGGCATCACAATAGATACTAAATAAAATTAGCACAATGAATTACTTCTAGTCATACACTAGACTCTTAAATTTTGAATAATGACACCAGGAAGTTTCTTGAATTATATAATAGGATTACTGTGTTTCAGAAGGTCTATTGCATTGTTCATGTCTTAATAAAATTCATTGGAATTTCTTAATTTCCTCCTATTTCTAGAAATGGTTTTGGAACTTACTGTTAGTTGCCCAAAAAAACAACTATTTTTCATCGAAAAAAAAAACAACTACCTTTTAACAATAGAAAAAGGAACTATCTTGTAATTCATTCATGGAAAGAATCTCTTTACAACATATTCTTGCTGCTTGGAGTTTCAATTTGCCTGAGAGTCAGTGAGCATTTGCTTAAATTGGTTGTGCTCATAAAACTTTTGTCAATTTTTTCAAGAACTAATAATAGAGTTCTTCACTATTTCTATTACTTAAAAGAAAAATTGAGAGCAGAAATTACTAACTATAATATCACCTGCAATGAACGGCCTAGCGGTCAATGAAGTGGGTTGAGAATCAAGTTCAAATTCCAATAAAGACAAAAACACTAGGTGATTTCTTCTCCCATACAGAGTTACTACCTGGTACATGTTTTGTTTGTTGTTGGTGAGAGGTGACATGTATAACGTGAAATTTATTAAAACTACTCTTGACTAAGAACCAGTTTCTTTTTATGACATACACACATCAAATGCAATAACTAGATTCAAAACAATAGACAAATAACACATCAAATGCAATAACTAGATTCAGTACAATATACAAATAACATGTCAACAAAAAAGGAAGACAAATTAACACGAAATACTGCTATACATTTTGAGAACATAAATTCAGATCTTTAAGAGAGAGAGAGAGAGAAGCCAAATGTAAACCCAAAACTAAGGAGACCACCCAACAATAGCAACTAATTTACACAAAAATTAGTGACAGAATAACATTAAAGTAAAGAGCAGTGCACCTTTGAATAGTGATCAGAAAATAGTGCGGCCGATGATGTTTGAGGAATCAAAGAGAGGTCGGCGGCAGACCCTTCCCCGTCTCTCCTCTAACACAGGTAGTTTAGAGATAGATCTCTCCTTTGACCACAATGCAAACAGAACAAAATCAAGGGTTTAAATTATGTAGGTCGGCGGCAGACCCTTCCCCGTCTCTCCTCTAACACAGGTAGTTTAGAGATAGATCTCTCCTTTGACCACAATGCAAACAGAACAAAATCAAGGGTTTAAATTATGTAGGTCGGCGGCAGACCCTTCCCCGTCTCTCCTCTAACACAGGTAGTTTAGAGATAGATCTCTCCTTTGACCACAATGCAAACAGAACAAAATCAAGGGTTTAAATTATGTAGGTCGGCGGCAGACCCTTCCCCGTCTCTCCTCTAACACAGGTAGTTTAGAGATAGATCTCTCCTTTGACCACAATGCAAACAGAACAAAATCAAGGGTTTAAATTATGTAGGTCGGCGGCAGACCCTTCCCCGTCTCTCCTCTAACACAGGTAGTTTAGAGATAGATCTCTCCTTTGACCACAATGCAAACAGAACAAAATCAAGGGTTTAAATTATGTTTTTTCATTAAAAAATAATGATTTCTATTTATTGCTTACTTCATTGATTAGCTTATTAAGTTAATAATAATAATAATAAAGTACTACTATTTTTAAAGAAAAAAAGGGGTAGAGTTTAAGGGGTGAGTTATTAAGATTTTGTTAATAATAAAGTATATATGTACGTAATTGTATATACAAAAAAAAATGTTGTGTGTGATTATATTCATATATATGATTTTATTTAAAATTATGTTGCTTTATCTTTTGGAGATAATCTTTTGATATTTTTGAAGGTATAACTTATAGTTATTAACTTATTAGCAACAAATGTAATAATTTGAAGCATGCAATTAAAAAGATCTAAACATTTTTTAAAATAATTAAAATGTATTTTAAAGTTATTTTTAAAGTCTTAATACTAATTTATAACGATTAAAGTCAAAGTATGAGCTTATTAGTGAACCAATTTATGAAGCAACAATTGATATTATAGAAAAACAATCACTTTGTTTATTTATTGTTTAGTAAAATAAAATATCAATAGTACAATTTGATAATGACGACGGAATTAGTTATTTTGAATTGATTATGTTGGAATTATTTTTTAATTGATTATTGATTTATTATATTCAAAATAATATACATTGCATGATTTTTAAGAATAAGTTGTTTGGTTACAAAAATATTCTCCACCTTATATATATATATTCCAAGTTTTAATTATTCATTCTTAAAAAATAAAATTGTCATCTTATTTAACTTGAATATTTTATGTGAGCATTTTCATATAGTGTCATATGTTTTTAAAAATAAAATTTTCATCTAATTTAGCTTTAAAAGAAAACTTTCATCTTAAGGTTATTAAAATAAAATAAAAAATTATTATTTATGTTACTAAGCACATAACACTCCTATATTGTAAAATATTAAAGTTAATTGATACATAAAATACAAGTTTTTAAGTGACCAAAAGACTAATTAATTAAAGCCCAAAGCAATAAAGAGTGATACTCCCCTTCCTAATGTATCTATAGGAGCAGAGGGCTTTAATATGGTCCAATCATATTTAAACCCTTTTAATGTTTCTGATCCTAGTACACATCGCACATGTAGTAGAGAAAGAGATCTTGAAGAATTAGCTAAACTAATTGTTGTTATTGGCTTGCGTTTTAGTTTTGCTGAAAATCCTAATTTTGTTCATTAAATTCAAATTGCGTATAATCCAACTTTTAGATGTCTTACAAGAAATACAATTAAAAAGGCTATTTTTTATTATCATGATCAACATTTTCAATATCTTCGTTGTTTATTTTATTATAATACTTGTAAATTGGCTATTACTTCTAATATGGGTCGTAGTGTTAATGGTAATGATTATTTCACTATTACTGGTCATTGGATCGATGAAAACTGGATTATGCAAAAAACGAATTTTAGGTTATAAATGTTGTGAAATGCGTAAAACCAGTAGTTACATAGCTCAAACTATTATAGATGTTTTAGAAAATTATGAAATTTATAATAAAGTAATTAGTGTCACCCTAGATAATACTTCTAATAATACATATGTTGTTGAAATACTAAAACCGACACTTTGTCCTATTTATATTGATGTTTTTCATATTAGGTGTGTTGCACATATATATAATTTGATTGTTAGAGAGGGTATAAAAATCTATAATAATGGTTGCATAAAATGTGAAACTGCATGTCATTTTATTTTTAAATGTCAAATAAAGGCCATACATAGAGAGTTTGAAAATCGTTATTGTGAATTTAATCTTCCCCCTAGAAAAATTTCAAAATCAGTGTCTACTAGATGAAATTCTTTATTTGAAATGTTTCAAGTCACTTGTGAATATAGAAAACCTTTACAAATGATTTGAAATGCTCATAATTTAAATATGGACTATAGACTTGCTGATAATTATTGGAATGACGTAAAAGAACTCATAGACTTTTTAAACGTTTTTTATTTAGCTACAAAACAAATTTCTGAACTTTATTATTCAGCTATTTGCTCAGTTTTATCAAATATTTGTGTTATTTCTAGAAAATTTTATAATTCAAAAATATTTTAAGGTTTGAAGATTCTGTTAAGTCTATGATTGAAAAAAAATTAAAATATTTTTTTTCTATTCCTCAAATTTATTTAACCGCTTGTTTATTAAACCCAACTTACACGGAATTAGGTGCATCACGAATGGTTGAAAAAATATATCTAAATTTATATATTCAAGATTTTGAAACACCTAGCTTGACAACAGTTAAATATAGTATAAAAATTGAAGCAAGAAAATTGTATGACTTGTATAATTCTCATAGAATAAATGAAGTAGTACGTAATGAAGAACTTAAAACTTCTAAGTGTAGATATGATGAAGATAACATTGATGATATGCTAGAAAGTTATCTTGGTCTTACCACTAATGAAAATAATGATTTTGATGAATATATTAATCAGGGAGCGAAAACTATTAAGGATGCACAAGGTATACCTGACCTTTTAGATTGGTGGAAGAATCGCGACAAGGAATTTTCAAAACTTCAACCGGTGGCTAGAGATGTGCTAGCTATTCAAGCATCTTCAATAGCTTTGGAGGGCGCTTTTAGTGCAGCAAGATTTCAAATTGAAGAGCATAGGTATTAATTAGCATCAGACAACTTGGAGATATTGATATTATTTAGAGATTTGATTAATGCCGAGAGAAGGAATAATGGGTATGCAGCTTTACCTACTCAATTTGAAAGTGATGTAGATGGAATGTTGCAAGATTGTAGTGACGACAACATTGATGCATTGGAGGAACTAGTTGATCAACCAATTCCAAATCATGTTACTAGAGAAATGTTAAATGATTTAAGACAAGACTTTTATAAGAGCTTCAAATATTAGTATGATAATTAGAGGTCTAATTCAAACAAAACATTTCCTAGAAGGTGGCTGCGTAGATTAGGTCCTATACTAATATTTGTAACACAAATTATACTATTTAATTTTTATTAATAAAATTATCGGCTATTCGCCTTAATTTTTTTTATTATTGTCTTCAATTTAATACAAGTCTTTTTATTATATTTCAATTTTCAAATGTTTCAAAGTTCAAACTTAAGTCATAATTTGAAATTTAAAAAATTTGAAATTTGAAAGTTTAAAATTTTAAATTTTAAACTTTTAAAGTTTGAAATTTAAACTTCTAAATTTTTAAAATTTGAAATTTAAACTTTAAGAGTTTAAATCTTATTTTTTTTAAAACTTAATAGTCTTTAAGTTATATATTTTGAAATATTTCAATTTTAAGTTAGAGTTTTAAAAAGAAATATTTCAAATTTTTTAATTTTAAGTTAGACTTTAACTAAAAATTAAAAAAATAGTTGTTGAAATCTGGATTATCGGTCCGGGATTGTAAGGACCAAGAATATCGGATGTACCGGTACCGGTTCGGCTGGTTTCCTTGGGTACAACGCCGGTTCCGATTCAATTCTGGTGGGTTCCGGTTCCGTTGCCAGACTTAGCGGGGATATGGAGGAGTGTTTTTGTTATTTTATACTCCCTTCCTTTATTTTTACTTGTCACTGTTTGACTTGACAAACTCATTAAGAAAGAAATATTGATATAAGTATTTTACCATACTACCCCTACTAATTAATGTTTAGTATTGAATTTTGAAAAATTATATGGAGAATAATATTTAATGATAGGGGTAGAATAGAAAAAATAATTCTCTTTTCTTGATATGTCAAAAAGTGACAAGTAAAAATGAAAATCTATTTTAGGAATAAGTGATAAGTAAAAGTGAACGGAGGGAGTATATATTATCTCATGATAAGTCATTTTGGTATTATTATTTCACCTACAAATAAAAATAACGTATCCCAATACTAATTATTAATCTTAAATAAATTATCCTTGGTTTTATAACTAAACAAAAAATTAAAAGGTACTAAAAATTTATTTCAAAATTATTTATTTTTATCTATCACATCAAATGACCCCTTCAAATATTCAATCCAAAATTGGAAGGTAATATTATTATTTTTATCAATGTGGTGGGAGAAGTTCATTTTTTTTGGAAAGGGGTTGCTGCTTAACTAATAATTGCTCTGTATTTTTAAATTAATTTGATTAGTTTTGAAAAAAGAAGAAATTAAATAATAGGTTTAAATTCAATGACTTTAGACATTCGCGTATGATGACTAAAAATGTTGCATTGTAAAAGTCAAGCATCAAAAGTTTTCGTAAGATATTTAGTATGATTTGCAAATGTATTGACCATTTTTACTATGTTTTCGTAAGATATTTAGTATGATTTGCAAATGTATTGACCATTTTTACTATGTTTTCGTAAGATATTTAGTATGATTTGCAAATGTATTGACCATTTTTACTATGATACATGTAAAAATTGATTAAACTTTTTGTCAACTGTGTCTCAATATTTTTTCATGTGTGATTGTATTTTATTCACACTTGACTAGAATATATGTAAAACGAAACTTTAGATATATGTGTCTAGACAAAAAATAATAATTTATATTTTGAATCTCAATAATTTGACAAATGATTGAG